AACCATAAACGTTATCGTTTACTATCTCCGTCTTTATATGTAGATATTACTTTTCTCCGTTAATCTCCGTCACGTTGTTTCCAAAGCAACAACAACTTCCTGTCAACTGCGCTAACTCTCCTTCAAAATAAAAGCATGTCCATAAATAGGAAGCCAAGCCAAATTACACTTAAGACATATACAACTGCAACGAAAGTAACAAACACAATGCAATATCCTTTTCAATTTCAAAGAACACAAATTGGGTTACAAATAACTATAAAACAACAATACTGTAGAATAACAAAATGAATGCCGTGAATACACCGAAATACACGTGTTGAAGCGGTTCGCTGCTGATTACTCCAGCAGCTGATTACCCCCCCCCCCGCGCGTGCCGAATATTCGCTACTGATTACTACCGAATATCCGGAGCCCGAAAAATGGTATTCGGGACAGCCCTACAAATTATTATGACCAGAAAAAAATGACCGGAGCTAGTTTACTGCCACAGTCTGCTGACCTGTGTGTTAAACGTTATTTAAATCAGCTGCTGTTACCTCATCTCTTTTGGTTTCAGGAGGAATATATCCATAGATCGATATTTTCTTTATGAGCCAGGCGTTTCTTGAGAGTTTTGGGGAAGCGTCGCTTCAAAACATATTCATCTCTGTGCGCCATCTTTAAAGGAAATCTGGCAAATCTGACAATAACTCTCTGGGAATAGCCCTCCACCGGCTACACCCATAAGTTAATACATTTCTATGTTGATTGATTGACATCTGACACAGCTAATGATGATGATAGCCCTCTCGTTTTCTACACACCTTTGTATAAAAGCCTTGTTTAAGACAGGCGACTGTCAATCAAATGCGGGACATCGGCAAAATGTGTGGGACAAATGATAGAAATGCTGTGCAGTCCCGCACAAAGCGAGACACCTGGTCACCCGACAGTTATCATGCCATTACATCACTCTTATCACCTGTTCACACTCATTAAGACAAAACAAAAACAACTTAACAGGCTAAACAAAATCACTTCTGAATGGTGGATGTATACTCTGAGCCTGATGAGTAGAGCAGGGTATCTGAGGGTACTTCCATGTGATGGGCTTTCTCTGGCACTCTGTGTGGTTACCCCTCCCTCTGCTACTGAGTCATCCATTGAACAGAGAACTGGTATTCCCTGTGCAGCCTTCTGCAGGCAGCAGCTTAAACAAATAGCTTGTACTCACACATAATGGAGCTAATTTGTTTGACTCATACATTTCTTTTATGTCATCTGAGTTTATGTACGCACGCAGAATGAGTTGTCAGGCTGCCCCAGGCTCATGGTTTGATAAATGCTTTTGTTTGTGAAATTATAAAGGCATATCCTCCTGAAAACTCATAGTTATTTATGTAATCTTTCACAACTACTTACAGCTATTTAAACATAATATTATCTTATAATTGTATCATATCATCTCATCTATGTTTCAGTTAAGAAATACTTATAAAGGCTCAGACAAAAAAAAGAAATCTTAACTAGAAATGCATTTCCTGCAGAAAATGCGTGTGAATGCTGTAAACTGTAAACATTTGTGGCTGAATTTAGCTGAAAATGCAGAAAAAGCTGAATATGTTATTAGCTGAATGGTCTCTGTAGCTGCTTTTAGCTACAAAAACCAAGTAAGTGTGTTGCTGAACTTAGCGGAGAAATGTAGAAAAGTGAAATGATTTGAATCAAAATGGTTACAGCTCAAATGCATTGCAATGACTTTGTTGAAAACTTGAAAGTGAAATGTTAAACTGGAAGACGAGGACAAATTGTGAAGAAGCTTAAAGGAGAGGTGTCATGGCCATTTCCACTGATCATAATTCCATTGTTGAGGTATACTAAAATAGATTTATACTGTGCATTTTTCCAAACTCACATTGGTTTCTCATACAGCATCTCTGTAAACTACGTGTATTCACTGAATTTCACTCTCTGCCTTTAACGGCTCGTTGGAGCTCCAATAGCTCCAGCCCCCACCCTCCCTGTGAGCACATCGTGCTCTGATTGGTCGGGACGTTGTGAATCGCGCTGAGCTCCGTGGAGGTGTTGTTTCCTTGTTTAGGATACATAGCAAAACACAGCCAAACTCATCCTGAGCACACACAAACTCACAGCCGAAGTAAAAACAATAAGTGTGGCTTGATATTGAGTAAGAAAAAGGTTGATAAACACTGTGAGAATGGGTCTGCAGTAGGGCTGTGCAATTAATCGTATTTTAATCGCAATTACGATTTTGGCCTGCCACAATTACGAAAACAACATAATCGAAAAAAACAATTATTTTGCTTTGCTTTGTGACTGCAACATATTTGATCCAATTAATTTTGGTCTCATTTATTTGTATTTATCATATTTATATATGTTTAGTAGCTTGTGGAAGTGCGCTCCAAAATATTTGTTGATCTTGTTTATTGGTATTTATTATTTTGATATTATTTAGTTAAATGTATAATTTATTTAATTTATTTTTGTATTGCTTTTTCAGTTGAATTATACGTTCAGGCTAATCAACAGTTAGAAATATACTGTTCAAATTATTATTTGTATTTGTTTTAAAGTTCAATAAATTGATTTTTTCAAAGTCAATGAATAATCTTATTTAATAATCGTGATATCAATTATTGACCCAAATAATCGTGATTATGATTTTTGCCATAATCGCACAGCCCTAGTCTGCAGAGACAATCCCAACTGTCTGTTATCAGCCTGCAGCCAGGGAGGAGAAATCAGCTGAGCTGCCTGCTCCCTGCACACAGATGTGTGTGTGAGGAAGTCCGTGGATTGGTCAATTTGGACCAATCAGCGGGGGCTTAACGTAACGGCTCCGCGGACGTAACGTAACGGCTCCACGGATTAGTCCATTTCGTTCCGGGTACGGGTTGACATCATGCCGTACCCGGAAAAATCAAATGGACAGTGACATATCTCCAACGAGGCGTTTTGGGGAGGTATTTTCTGTGTTAGAGTTTTACTCGCTATAGGGTGTACTTTGAGGGTTTTGACTCTGCACACCGTTTACATGCATAAAAACCTTCATAACACACAAGGGGACGGGTAATAACCGGAAAAGCATGACATGGGCCCTTTAATATATAAAAGAAAAGGTTTAAAAAAAGGTATAAACAACATGTAATGTTGTAAATGACTGCCTTTACATTCAATGTCCTCAATGTCCTGAAATAGCTGAATAATTTAATAGTTGAATGGTTTCTGTTGCTGAAAGTAGGCTGAAGGAGTTAGATATTAAATGTAAGTAGTAGTGAATTAATGTTTACAAACACCTGTGTGTGTAAGCCCAGAGATCAAAGGTTACCATGGTGACGACGTTATCAAACACCTGTTTACGTGAGCCCAGAGATCAAAGGTTTCCATGGAGATGTGCTGTGAAAGGAGAGCCTTTCCATTGTTCTGAAGGAGGAATAAACCTCTTACATTTCTAACTATAGTTCAATCAGGAGAGACGTTGATGTATGAAATACATATTTATTACCGGGACACATAATATGAATGTAATAATGATTGCCAGAATTATAACAGGAAAATGGAATGGTGTTTGGAGATTAGGCCCCAGTTTGCAGGATAATCATTCAGGAGGGGGAAGAACCGCTCCGATGAAACCCCCCGGGGTCTAGACACTGGTGGTGGTGATAAGTAGGTGGGAACGGACTGAAGGGAGAAGGTTTAGCTTGGTCCTGAAGGAGACGGGAGGCGAAAGGGGTGGAGGAGGGTTGCGTTTTGTCACCTGAAATGACAGCTGACAAGAGGGAAGAGCAGATATAAAGGGATTAGCGGGTGCTATGATAGGCTTGTGAGAATGGAGAGAGGAGAGATTGGTAAACTGGGGAGTGACTTATTTAAAGTTTACTTCTCTCTGTTCTGAAGAAAGAACCAGACACATTTAACATGGGAGTCTATTGGGAGCTAGGTGGACTTTTTGACAAGTTCATGTCTCTTCATGCCCTCAAGAGGCATTTTGTTTAATATTTTTTCTTTATTTTTTCAGATAGGAGAGGTTTTCCATAAACAGCATTCACACTAATAAAGATTTGAAGAACTATAGTGGAATGCTGTGGCACAGCATTCGCATTAATAACGATTCGAAGAACTATAGTGGAATGCTGTGGCACAGCATTCGCACTAATAACGATTCGAAGAACTATAGTGGAATGCTGTGGCACAGCATTCACACTAATAATGACATCATGTTATTTCCAGGCTTGATAAAGCTCCTTAAAGACAAACAAGACATTTTATGACTGCCTTTACATTCTGAGGAGCTTGTAATGCTACGGGAATACAAACACTTGCATGATCTCAGGAGCCGAGAACTCCTCCATCCTCTTCACATGAGTGACATTTAAATTGGATTTAAACGTCTGCTCAACGTATACATCTGAATGCGCCTGGACAGACTGACTCTCTCTGTGTCTGTCTTCAGCATGCATTCACAAACTCATCATCAACAAACAAAATATGCATTTACGGTCAAAATAAATATTTTTATTTTTATATTGGTAACTGCATCGGCAATAGGCAAAATGAGTTGCAAAACATGCATAACGGTAAAAATCCAATATCATCCATCAATACTTTTCAACCTGTTATGTTTCCTTATACAATGTATTCAATGCCAGAGCCTGGTAGACTATCACTGTACTTATTCACATTATAAGGATGGAAGTGCTTTAAACTTCAGTCTGTTTGGGCGTTCCAGTAATATCAATATCATATCTGCATATTATTGTTTGTGCTTTGGTGTTATTACTGTTAGCAACACTATGAAAATACTATTTACATGAGTTTACCAAACCATGTGTTAACAGTCTGTCTACCAGCCTCATTAATGATTTGATGACTGAATGATGTTAAAGTGTAACATGTACAGTATGATCTATAGTGATCTTTGGTTGCCAATGTGTTTGAGACAATCAGCTGTTAAAGTATCTGAAACCCTGACCCCTGCTGTGTTGTGTGTGCAGGATCCTGGCCACTGTGGGGACAGACTTTGATCTGAGAACACTAAGAGCGGTGAGAGTACTGCGGCCCCTCAAACTGGTGTCCGGCATTCCAAGTGAGTTACCTGCACATGTAAACAGATTCCTATCAAAATTAGACCCCGTTTACATGGAGACGGTTCGTGTTGTATCTGCTACTTTTCTCTTTCGTATAGCCCGTTCGTTCACACGAGGCCGTAACGGAACAGCGGAAACGATAACGGGTCCCAAGGTGGGTAGATCTGCGGACGGAACGCTCTGGGCGGCTCCGTGTATACGTCCTATACGATCATTTCCTGATAACGATGAAGCCATAGCCCTACCTCTACCCACCTCTGCTGCTCACTGCTGTAGCATGGTCAGTAGCTACTGTCAGTAGCTACTGTCAGCTACTGCTACTGACCATGCTACAGATGTTAGTGCAAAATCTACAGCTCCTCTACCACAACCATCAGCAACAAGTGGACATGGAGAGCTACATGAACTACATGTTGCTAAATCCACCGCGGAGCATAAACAGAAGGGCAACCATGGCAACCATGCTCGGGGGGTCTTCTTTGCTGCTTTTGGTGTATTTTGTGGCGGAAGTACAGTGCCACTTGCAGGCCCGGCATATGTACTACAGCGTCTCCAGCGGGTCGAGCGGTCTCGTGTGAAAGGACAAGTTTCTTGAGCCGATACCGTGCGAACGGAATACTTTTTTTGATATCGAATTTGGTTCGTTCTCCGTTTCGTTTCCGTGTAAACGGAGTCTTACTGTAGTAGCACTGATAACAATACAGAACAGTCCAGAAACTGATTAGAGCCTGGTTTAGCATTAAGGCCGCTACACACCCACCTGAGACCAAAGAACGCGTACCGAAGGCATCCCGACTATTACGTCAGCTACGTTGCCTGCGTCGGCTACGCCGCCCGCTACGCCGCCCGCTACGCCGCCCGCCTACGAACACACCGCAAATACTTCGAGTCGACGAGTGGCAATAACTGTCCTTACTAGCAGGCAGCGGTAGTGTGAACAGACAATCAGAGTGATTGCTTGGGCAGACTTTCTCTGACCTCCCGCGGCCGATTCAACATGTTGGGAGGCCGCGGGAGGTGTGAAAAGGTGCCGTAAAGAGACGACGGTGCGGGACACACCAACCTGAGTAGGGCGCCGCGAATGCCCGACTGCCTCTGACGGCCTCTGACGGCCTCTGACGGCCTCTGACGGCCTCTGACTCCCAAAATCGGGTTGGTGTGTAGCCAGCTTAAAGACTGCAAACGGTCTGAATAAAACATTGTGTGTCATCTGCAGGGTGGGGAGGGTTACTTTAAAAATGTAATCCATTACAATAACTAGTTACATGTCAAAACATGTAATCAGTAACCTAATCTGAGTATCACAATATGAAAGTAACCTGATTACTTTCTCTTGCTTTTGGATTACTTCAATATCAAGTGCAATGCAAATAAAAACAAGAGAAAATAAATAACAATAAGATGTTTTTTTACTTAAGTATATGTAACAATGTAACCTTAGAAAAGTTGAAACAAAGATATTTCATATATTCTTACCTAAACCTCTGTAAAATACTACTAATAATAGTGCTGGCGATTAGAACAATAATTCTCTGATCTGGGCTCACTCGCTTTTTCCTTAAGCCCCGTCTGTGACAAAACTAGCTACATTTTAAAACCTTGTTTTTTGTTGCTAAAGGTCAGATTCAAGCCATTTAAGAATTATAATGCATACATAACATGTCCTCTTACATTTAACCTGTTGTGAAAAAAATTCTTGATCAAATTGATATGAAACAAATAAGATACATAATGCTGTGACATTAATGTCATATCGGGACTTTAACATTCAAATGTCACAGCAAACATAATGTGACATATAGGTCACAATAAGAAATATGATTATGATCAGCTCAGTTAATTTAGCTGATTCAAAGATATTAGGTTATTCGATAATATTTTCTGACCCTAATGGTTTGAATAAGGGCTATTCTAGTGTTCGTATTGGGTAGTTGATTTGGATCAAAATAAATTACAGCTGATTTACAGACCCTTTATTAAAACGTATTTAATGTTAGCAAGTACAACTGTGCTCCTCCCATGATGATAAGTCAAAATGTCTGACATAAAACAAACTTTGTCTTTATGCTATCTGTTGGATCACATTCACCTTCCACTTAGACTTATATGAAGGCTCCCCACACATATGGTTTTACATAAAAACACTGAACAGTTTTCTATTAGCACAAAGAGAAGATGTTCATTATTATACCTGAAAAGTCAGAAAAAGGTTGATACTAAATGTAACTGACTCAGTAACAGACCACAGTCGTGTCCCCACCTAAACCAAAGTGCCCAAAGCGGACCACAGAGAACCACTCTCTGGTGTACACCTGCCATCCAGATACATGAAGCGTCTCATTCTATTTGAGAAAAAATAAAAGTTTCCTGTAAACATAACAAGAACAAGATTTTCTGATTATGTATCAGGAAAATGATAATGACAAATCAATTCAGTACTATAAAACATAAGAGACATAGTCGGTCTCACATGAATGTAAACACCAGGTACTTGCTATGTGTATTCATGTCAAATGCTTTCATAAGTAACAACCAAGGGAACTGCTCAAATGTATTTTATGTTCACGCAATATGTTATAGCATTAACTCAATCAAGAGAATGTCTATAATATGTCTGGTGTTGTGCCCATTAATGACTCCCTCAGCTGGAGAAACAATCCACCAATGAGAGCTTTGTTGGCAGAACCCAATGCCGACTTGAAATCATGTCGGCAGGATGTATTGCTTCTTCTGATTAGTTCAAACAAAAACATAAATAACACCACGACCAATCAGGAATCTGGTAACATGAACACAATATCACACTGATTGATCAGTCTCAACATGTGGTGTTTCCTGTCTGTCCCCACTCTCTCCAATAAAGGCTAACACAATATAAATGAATAATTATTAAATGTCAGTTTTGAAATGCATCTTTCCCTTGTCTGCACCAGGTCTGCAGGTGGTACTGAAGTCCATAATGAAGGCCATGATACCTTTGCTGCAGATCGGCTTGCTGCTCTTCTTCGCAATCCTCATGTTCGCCATCATCGGCCTCGACTTCTATATGGGAAAGTTCCATCGCACCTGCTTCAGGATAGACACCGGTGAGTTAGAGACCAACAAGAGACACACACGCTCACAATGTGAATCTAGGCATGGTTATTATATGTACATTGATATTAATCATCCCCATGTAATGGCTTATGGACACACTGCTGACCCAGGCATTCTTTAATTCTTTGTACAGTGCTGTAAAACTCCATCCATTTGTGCTCCTTTGTCTGCCGTCCTCCAGCTGTCAATAACTTCTGCACAGCAAAAACAATGTGCATACACAACAGCCATTCCATTATTGGCAGATTATGGGAATAAGAGACAGTAGTATATTACAAGAGATTAATAAGAACTAAATGCCTTTGCCTTTATTAAAGATTAAATAAACAAACTCTAAAGTATCCCTGTCTTTAACTGTCTGTGATGTCTGCATCTGGTTCAGGGACAAAAGGAGGTATATGCTTCTTTATTAGAAGGTGACATTTCGTAGATGCATCAGACCTCTCCTGCTGCTGATGATAAACTGTGCTTACATTTAAGTATATATCAAGTTGAGTCATTTTTCAAATCACAACTTATCCACAAAGGGCTTTACTCAAAATATGTAAAAAGTGCTCACTTAAATGTTGCCACTATATGTATCATTGCAGTGGAAACTATATATTGTGCATTAGATGGAATGTTCTTCTGAATCTACTGTATAACGAGAAGGACTTTTACATAATACATCCACTGCCTTCTCTAAAAATACCTCAGCATGTTATAGTGTTTGCTGTGAACTGTGTGTTTGCTGCAGACGAACAGGTGGCAGATTTCCCCTGCGGCCTGGAGGCTCCGGCCAGGATCTGCGAGAACGGCACCATCTGCAAGGAGTACTGGACCGGACCCAACTACGGCATCACTAACTTCGACAACATCCTCTTCGCTATTCTCACTGTGTTCCAGTGCATCACCATGGAGGGATGGGTAGAGATCCTCTACAACGTGAGTCCACTGACAGGAAGCACATCTGAAATGTTTGTAAAGCACCGTCTGTTAGGTAGTGGCAGACTGAAACAAAAAAAAATCAGGCCGGGAGTTTGACCCATCCCAGGTCAACCTGTCTGCATGCCCCAAACCACAGAGCGCTGATTTGTAGGCTAACTTTATTTGTTGATGTCATCTAGTTTTAAGTATGGCCAATGTGTTCATCTGGGAGGAAAGTTTACAAAGTCTACAAAATACAACATTTGGGATTCCAAAAGGGAAGTCAGAACATCTCAAACGCTGGACGGTACATTAGGAAGTGCTTGACTTGAAATGCTGTGGATTTCTTTTTTTTTTATATCTTTTTTTATTGAGTTAGGCACAATGAGTTACATTTATACGGTCTGTATTTTTCCTTTCCCCCCCCCTCCCGGTCCTAGCTAGTAAAGTAAGTAAATAAATACATATATAGGTAAAAATAAAGTAATGTAAAAGATAATTAAAACAAATTGTATAGATAAGGAAATTAAGAATAATAACAATAATAGATGTACCCATATACTCACATATGTATACCCACATATACACATATATATATGTACATACCTACACCCATACCCACACATTTACATACACATACACACATATACACATACACATACACATACACATACATACACATACATACATACATATATAAAATAAAATAAAAAACATACCCCCCCTTTCTTCTTAACTTAGTGTCTTAAGTTCAGCTATGTAGGCTATCACAGAGTCCCAGACAGATTCAAACATTTCTGAAGAGCCCCTCAGGTTATATTTAATCTTCTCCAAGTTCAGGTAAAACATTAGATCTTTAAGCCATAGAGATGCTTTAGGTGCTATTGAGGATTTCCATTCTAGGAGTATTCTTCTACGTGCTAATAGAGATGCAAAGGCTATACTGTCCTTAGTTTTCCTCCTCATCATTCGGTGGCCAGGTAGTACTCCAAAAATGGCAGTTTCTGCACATGGTGTCAATACCACGTCCAAGGCCTCAGCAAGGTGTTTGAACATGCTTGTCCAGTATCCTTGCAGGCGAGGACAAGACCAAAACATATGAGTCATGTTTGCTGGTGACATGTGACATCTGTTACAGGTATCCGTGACATTAGGGTATATTTTGGAGAGTTTAGATGCTGTATGATGTCCTTTTTGTTGTTTCTGTTGTTTTATGTGTTTATTTTTCATGTGGAACCTACTTGAGCAGGTCTCCCTTGAAAAAGAGATCAATGATATCAAGGGATACACCTGGATAAATAAAGGTTTGAAATGAAATGAAATGAGAGTTGGTGTAATAGATACGGTGGACAACTTTAAGTTGTATAAGATTGAGCCTGGAACAGGCTAATGCTAATGCGCCATCCCAGATATCATCGTCTATTGCTTGGACTAGTTCCTCTTCCCAATCTTGTTTGATTTTACCAAGAGATGTTTCTGTGAGACGGGAGATGGAATTGTAAATTATTGAAACCAGACCTTTTTCGGTTGTTAGAGTGTCCAGAATTGAGTCAATTATTGAAGCCGGAGGGATATTGGGGAAGGAAGGGTTATTTAGTTTAACCCAGTTACGGACCTGGAAGTAGTGAAATAGATGAGAGTCTGGGAGGCTAAATTTGTCAGAGAGTTGGCTAAAGCTACCGAAAACATTGTTGATGTAAAGGTCCCTTACTCTGAAGGCCTAATCGCTGCCACATATGCGGCTTTCACACCAGCGCTTTTCCCATTCTAGCTCCGTGCAAGAGCTTTTCTGGTTCAGCTCCGGTTTCCCTTTTCTGCTCCCGCTTTGTTCACACCGCCCAGAGCCCGACTGGTGCTGCCACTGCTGAGTCATGACGTCACCGTTTACCTCGCTGATTTGCTCCCCAACGGCGCTCACAACAACAACAACAACAACAACAACAACAACGGGGGACTGCGTCGGGTCGATGATCGTGTTGCTTTTAATCATACGAAGCCAGATTAAATTAAATAACGACTTCTCCAACCTTATACTTTTCTCCAGAGTGCCGTGGTTCATTGTTTATTAATGTGTTTCAGCAGCATTTACCGACCGCTGCAGTGCTGGCTACTCTTCCACGGGAGTTTATTGTCCCGTTAGCTCCGGGTTAGCTCACACGGCTCTAAAGTATTCACTGTCTGACTGTCACACAAGCAGTTATGATTCTACTTGTGATAGTCGGACATGACAACCTGTGCAGCCCATGTATTGATTCCATCCGATAGCTGCGATAATAACAAACAAAACGTCTGCCTGCTCTCCACAATGATCAATAACAGCGAACGGATGGTCAAAGTAAGGTACAAATAAACAGAATCACACGAAGCCTGGTTAGTGTTGCCTGACTTTATAAAGTGTGTTTTTTTTTATAAGTGTGTGGTTGCCTTCTAGTCACTTTGCTCAGCGCTACTGCTTGTAGGCAGGCATGACGAGACTCTTCAGTCGACCCATGTTCAGGGGAGGTGGGTTTAGTTTCCTGCACGCCTCGACGTAAGAGAGACGTAAGCGACGCCGCCTCTTAGCTCCGGAGTCTTGCTTCTAGACCGACAATTTTTTGGAGCTGGAAACGAACTGGATTCCGGAGCTAACAGGCGGCGCCGCTGCGGTGTGAACAGGAAAAACCGGTACTTTTCAGGCTCTAGCTCCGAGCCGGCGCTGAAAACGCGTTGGTGTGAAAGGGGCAATAGAGAAGGCCCCATCAGTGTAAGGGGGGAGAAATAGATGGTTGTTGCGAATGGGACTATGAATAGAGGATCCATGAAGTCCATGAGCACTTCTGAATTGGGACCATATTCTTACGGTGGAAACAACTATCGGGTTATTCGAGTATTGAGTCGGCCGGCTGGGTAATGTAGATGTAAGCAAAGCCAAAAGTGAGGTAGTAGGACAGGATTCGGCTTCAAGCTCACACCAACTCAATGTTGGTTCCTTAATCCACAAAATTATTTTGTGGATATTGGCTGCCCAATAGTAGTGTCTTATGTTTGGAAGCGCCAATCCTCCTCTAGATCTGTGCCTTTGTAAAAGCTCTCTCCTATTTCTAAGGGAGGCGTGTGGCGCAGTGGATAGAGCCTTGGTATGGGGCTCAGATGGTCACAGGTTCAAACCCCACTGCAGTCAGCATGTCGTTGTGTCCCTGGGCAAGACACTTCACCCCAAATTGCTCCTGTGGGGATTGCCCACAGTATTGAGTATGTAAGTTGCTTTGGATAAAAGCGTCTAACAAGTAACATGTAATGTAATGTAGGAGTCTTCCCTAGCCATAAAAAAGAGGAGATTAGTGTGTCTATTTTACAAAAAAGTGATTTGGGTAGGAAGACTGGCAGACATTGAAAGAGGTACAGGAAGCGAGGGAGCACATTCATTTTGACACAGTTTACCCTCCCAGCAATAGTTAAATGTAAATTATTCCACCTTTCCAAATCAAATTTGAGTTTGTCAATTAGTGGTGGGACGTTGTTTTTGTAAAGGTCTGAGAGTTTTCCACATATATTCACACCTAAGTACTTAAAATGACTCCTCGACATCTTAAAGGGGATGAGTCTATCGGGGATCTGAAGGGCCAGGTCATTTACAGGGAAGCACTCACTCTTGGAAAAGTTTAATTTGTACCCTGAAAAGGTTCCGAATCGAGTTAACAGATCAATTATCTGAGGAATGGTAGATATAGGGTTAGAAATGAAAAATAGTAAATCGTCAGCGTATAACGAACCATATCTGGTAATTCCTTGTTTAAAGCTGGCAGATTTAAGCGCAATTGCTAAGGGTTCGATCGCCATGGCGAATAGTAACGGGCTTAAAGGGCAACCCTGGCGAGTTCCTCTACCTAGTGTAAAATATTGAGAATTCATCCCGTTAGTACTCACTGAAGCCTTGGGTGAAGCGTATAACAATGCTATCCAGCACACAAATTTGGATCCGAGGCTGAACCTCTTAAGGACCTCAAATAGAAAGCCCCACTCCACCCTGTCGAACGCTTTCTCTGCATCCAATGAGACCACCACCTCTGGTGTCTCATCGGATGCAGGAGAGAGGAGGATGTTGAGAAGGCGACGGATGTTGGAGAAGGAGTGTCGGCCTTTCATAAACCCAGTTTGGTCTAATGATATCATGTTTGTTATGACTGATTCAAGGCGTATGGCTAGTATTTTAGCTAGGATCTTATAGTCCGCATTCAAAAGGGAGATGGGGCGATAGGAGCTACTTTCAGAATTTTCCTTGCCTGGTTTTAATAATACGACTACTACCGCCTCAGTGAGAGATTGAGGCAAACCCCCCCGGTCCAGAGAGTCCTCGAACATTCTCAAAAGGAGGGGGGTCAATTTATCAATACATGTTTTATAAAACTCAATTGGATAGCCGTCTGGGCCGGGGGCCTTGCCACTCCTGAGCAAGTGTTATGGACGGAAATTCCAGATCATCCAAGAATTGTGTTCTGTCCGCATTATCGACAGGGGCTTGTGAGGCATAGAGTGCAGAGTAAAAGGTTTTAAAGGTCTCATTGATAACAGATGGGATTGCTGTGAGTTCACGAGTAGGGGTCCGTATTTGTTTAATTTGTTGGGAGGCCGACTGGCTCTTAATTTGGTGCGCTAGGAGACGACCCGCCTTCTCCCCATGTTCATACTGAAATCCACGCGATCTTAAAAGCAATTTCTCAGTCTCTTGCGTTGAAAGTAAATTGTAGTCCATCTGAAGATTTTGCCTTTCTTTATCTAGTTCAGGGGATGGAAATATTGAGAGTTTGCTATCTAGTTTTGCTATACTGCCCAAAAGTTCTTTGCTTTTTCAATTTGTTTTGCCTTGCAGAGTAAGAGATAGTCTCTCCTCGGATCACAGCTTTTAACGTCTCCCACAAAAGAGATGGTGATATGAAATCAGACATGTTGGTTATAAGGAAATCATCAATAGCTTTAGAGATTGTTTCACAGAATCGATCATCGTTTAACATTGTGCAGTTCAGTCTCCAGGGGGGACG